TTTCTGCAAAGTAAATGTACAATTTCCATTTAACAGTCGTTCTTTAAAAGTAACCCAGTTGTTCAGTGAGAAATTTTTGCGTTAAGACTTTTAAGCGCTCGTACGTAAGAACCACGCATACCTCAACGTCGAATTTGAAATACCTAAGTTGTACTTAGGCAGGGAGCATTCCCTCAGAATTTCAGCTTCCCAGCTTTTCTGGTTACCGAGTTAGCACTTAAAATTTTTTATTTAATGTGCGCATTTGTGCATGTACATATAAAAGTACGAAGCTCGGGAGTGAAGTGACTGGTGTAGTTGTGTACAACATACGGCATTTCCTTAAGGAGAGGTGTGTGTGGTATGTGGTTATATTAGTTTATGCGTGTGTATGTGTGTGTATGCAGACGCGCATGTACACATATCATATATGTATGTATATATATGCATAAATGAATGTATGCCTGTATGTGTTTAAGTTTTTTGTTTGTCAACAAAATCGAAAGTTTCTTTTTTGCCGGAGCACTGCACAGAAACTAGTCGTTCTCAGTCTGATGATTATAACGATGAAAAATGATAATATGGAGCAAAACTAGCAGCGATAATTAATTGGCGGTAGTAATTTCAGAATTATTTCGCAAAAATGTGAATCCCAGCTGTGCGAAAGGAGAATTGGTAAGGAACTGTAAAACTCCACTCATTGGCAAATTCCCTCTTCTGTCCTGCAGGCAGCAAGTGTTATCAGCAAGAGATTTTGGCATATTGCTGCACTGAATAGTATTTGAAATTGTTCGTATGCGTACTATAAGATGTTCGCTGTTGCGATAAAATGCTGAAGTTAAAAATGCGCCACAAAAAAACCGATTTATCTTACGCTTCCGGAAAGTGGAAAACCTTCGCTGCTTCTTCTGCACACTCATCCCGCTGTGATTTTAGACACTGCTGTGTGTAAAGAGACATAACGAAGCCTAACTTCCACCTGATGGCCTCGGTGCTTACTGTTTAATTCACAGAAACAAAATTTTGTCTAAGCTCTTTTTTATGTGTTAAGCACTAACAATCGACGAAGTCGGAAAAGAGCGGAGTAACTGGCTATCAGATCACGGAGATAGCCATGAGATGCTTAACGTCAGTGCGGAAAATACCCATCGTCTCGCGGAAAAGAGCACAAGACAACCCTGTGACCGGCGGTTGCTCTTAGCACTTGCTAAATAATCGGGCTGCCCATTTCACAGAGGGTAAATAAGGAGAGGGGTTTTAATTTTGGCTTTGATCCCATTTTGACGAGATACTATTTCACCTGGTGGGAGCCGAAACACAGAAAAATAAACAAAAATAAATCCAGTAGCCGAGCACACCTTCGATTCTGTGGAGAAGAATGCAAAACTGTAGCGGACGAATGGAGAAAATTCGGCAAAAAAGCGTAATAAATAGTGTCCGGGATAAGATAAATCCCATCGAGGAAGAGGGCACAAATTAGCTTGAGGAGAAAGGCCACAGACAAAAGCTCATAACACATATAATCATTACGAAATCTTCTTGTACAGACGTGATTTTGAGTGCCCTGCGTAGCCCAGTGTAGGAATAGCAAAAGCAAAGGGTAGAGATAGCTTCAAAATATCCTCAAACAGAAAGAAGAAGGTGGATTAAGCGTCTTCAGTTGCTGAAGCGGCTGCAATGGCCGAACCCAGTGATATATAAAGCCTATGCTGAAGCCACGTGTAATCGCCGGAGGCAGCAGGCTCGAATGAACTGCTGCTATTGCAGTACTTCACAATCAGCGCCAGTTTCCTGTCCTCGCCTTCCACTGAATACACATTGAGTCTCAGGCCAACTCGGTGTCGTTTTCGGAATACAACGGTGCTGAACGGACACAGTTTAGTGGACCAGAAATCATCAATTTTACACTCGCAAATGGAAATGAAGTGAAATTCTTGGATGCGTATTTTGCGGACAGGAACAGTGTATTTCCATTTCATTTCCCGCTGACTGCGTGAAAAAGCAAGAAAATTGTTCACTTTTTACCTCGCCCCTTCGAACTCGTTAAAATTTATTATTGAGTGAAAAAAG